GGGGACAGCATGGTGAGTGAAAAGAGGTGAGAGAGCACAGAATCCAAGAGCTGGGGAAGGAATGTAACTCATCTCAGATGGCGCCTGCAGGAGTAATTAGGGTAGAATGTTGGGTCTCTGCCTGTCGGCCCTGGTTTGCCCTGACCGCGCTCTTGAGTGCCCAGAAAGCCAAACTGAGTGGTTGGTAGGCATGTTTGGAAGGAGAGTCCCCTAAGAAAAGGAGAAGCTGCCCTCTAAACCGTACAGAAGAGGCAAATGCACAATTATCCCAGTTGTTGTGGCTGGGAGGGGTGGTGACGGCAGGTTAGTCTAAGTGTTATTGGGGAAAGAAACTCCTTCCTCAGTTCAACCTCCACAGCTGCCAGCTGGGGACAGGTGGGTGGGGACAGGTGGGCCGCCAGCTGAGGACAGGTGGCTGCCAGCTGAGGACAGGTGAGCTGGGGCTGGTTTCTTTGGTCATTCTCCTCTTTTGAGGAGAAACTTCCCAGTTCCCTGAGAATATCCCAAAAAAGGCTTAAGCCTTTGGTTTCTAGGTGGGGAATAAGATGTCAGGAAGAGAGCACAAGCCGGGGCGGGGGTGGGGGCGGACAAAAAGTGTGCCAGGCCCTCCACGATCACACTGGCCTCTTGATAATTCCCTTTCACTGCATTTAACTAACGATGAGCACACACTGAGGAACTCGGAAATCTGTGAAAGGAAGATAGCCTTCGGAAGCGTGACGAGGAAAGGCATTGTAATCTGCGCTTAGACCTCTGGGGTTTTAATCTGCTCCCGGGGCAGGACCTGGTTGGGGTGGTGATCACTGAAGGCCCACTGATACCCACCCCACTCCTGTGAACTGGACGGGGAAGTGCATAGAACTGAACGACAACCGTGAGACCTGGTCATCGCACGCCCAGGGAGCCAGCCACAGTGAAAGCAGTGGAAATCCTCAGGCTAAACCAAGGAGGGCAAATTCCTAGAAGCCAGAGGGTCAGGTCAAAGGAGAAATGCCCTTCTGACTTCATAGTAACCATCTGCATCCCAACCCACGTTAACACAGCACACAGGGGTCAGGGGCTGAGGCCCTCTCCAAGCTGGGGCCTTGCCTCTGAAATTACTGTGGCCAATCAGTTCCCTGCTCCTTTCTATTCGCAGCTGGGGCAGGTTGTGGGAGGAACAGAAAGCTGGGATGTGGGGTGGAGAGAGAGAGAGAGAGAGAGAGAGAAACATCAATGATGAGAGAGAATCAGTGATCAGCTGCCTCCTGCATGCCCCCACACTGGGGAGGGAGCCCACAACCTGGGCATGTGCCCTGACCTCCTGGTTCATAGGTCGATGCTCAACCACTGAGCCATGCTGGCTGGGCTGAAATTATTTTTATATGACCAGTTTCACCTACAAAAACAAAAAGTCCACATCAACTCATTATTTAAACAAATTATAGTCATATCTGCCATTTACTGCACAACTAGAGTGTGCCAGAAACTTTATGCATATTGAGTTGTTTATTCTTCCCGGAAACCCACAGAGGTAGGTATTATCCTGACTTCAGAAGGGGCCCTTTCGAGCTGGAGGCACCTCTGAGGACAAGGAGAGGCAGCCACATTAGAAGTGCCTGCTGCTCACGTGGCTCCTCCAACCCCGCCCCCTCCTGTCAGCTCTACCGCTCCCCATCTCCACTGACGGCCATGGGCTTGGCCACTCAGGGGTTTCTGGCTGTCTTGCATCCCATCCCACCATGCGCTTCTCTTTCCTGAGTGGGGAGTACAACTGTGTCCACCTGAACCTGAACCTGAACCTGAACCGCCCCTTATTTCCTGCCACTGCCCAGGAGGGAACACCCCCCACCCCAGCGACACCCTGCCTTAGCCCTTCACCACCCCTTCCCTGCACTTCCTACCCCCGCCTCGCCCTCGCCAACCCCTAAGGCTCTCCTCCTACCTAACCCGCTCCGGGTCTCGGACCAGTCCCCGCACCAATACCCCTGCCCCGCCCCCAGGAGAGCGCCTGCTCCAAGCCGGACGAGGACATCCTAGACATCCCGCTGGACGATCCCGGCGCCAACGCCGCCGCTGCCAAAATCCAGGCGAGTTTCCGGGGCCACATGGCCAGAAAGAAGATCAAGAGCAGAGAGAGCGGCCGGAAGGGCCCGGGCGCCGGAG